GTCAAAGAGTAAAACCAGAGCTTGCATTTCGGTTTCCCGAACCTTCTTCTGCTTTCAGTCCGGTAGAACGTCAGCACAGTTTAAGAGCCACCACTCACATGTGCCATCTTGGCTTTGTAGTCGTAGCGATAAACAGTCTTGTATCTCCTCATAATTGACTGTTTCCCTGTTTACCAACTGAGTCCAAGCCATAGATCCGACGACCATTAAGGCTTCCTTCATGAGAACGTTTCTGGCTAAATGTGCCCAAAATTTTCACTGTGCTTTTTTCTCTTATCAGCCCTCCATGATCCTGTCTTCACTCAGCCCTACCCTCCGGAGACAACGCCAGGATTCTTTCTCTCCCTGGACCACCTTAAGACGTCACCTCAGCCTCATGGACCCAGATACGAGTTGTTTTTCTTATTATCTCTTATCCTGCTACAAGCTAGACAGATTATCTGTCTTTTATGCGGAAAGTATATGCGTCTCCTTTTCTGACACTCTGTCTCATGTTCATGATCACATCCACAACTCCAAGATTATATGGCAATCATTTATTTGTCCGATTTGTTTGTAGAATAATCAGTTGAGCAACCAATAGTATCCTGAAAAGCTGCGCTTTTAATTGATTTCCTAGATGATTAGGCCTTTTATCATTTAATCATGTATACAATTATCACATGTAGCCGTTTATATATCCACCTAACGAGCTATTTACCAGTCATTATAAAATATTTCAGAAACTTCTACGATTTCTTGCTTCTCTGCCCACTATTCTTTTTTTAAAAATCTGTTGTTTATATACTTTCTCCCCCATTCTTTCTGACGAACAGCTCCTTTATCTATTTACTTGTTTCAATGCCAATATTTTTTTCTAGCTTTCCTATCCTTCCCAGTTTTACCAACCACATTACTTCCAAGCCTATACACCATGTTTATTTATCGTCTCTACCTTAAATACCCAATAATCGACTAGGATATCAAGTTATCTTGTCTTTGTTGCCTGCAAGCATGCATTCTGTGCTTTGGGAATATGCATTTGTGTGTGTGTGCATCGGCATTGTTGTATGTTTTTGTGTGGAGATGTGCACATCATTTTGATAGGTTATGCCCCACGAAGATGCTTGTGAAACGTTTTCGTGACAATTTAAATTCAAAGCTCATTGGGACTCTGCACGCAATTCGAGCTTAAACAAAGAAAGACATTTAAATAAATTTTCGGCGCCCAATCAAGACTTCCGACAAGCGGACCACATGAAAGACAGATGAATGAACCGATTTAAACATTTCTGCACACAAAGGATGGTCGGGATTCACACATTTTAAACATACTGTCAGTGGAGCCAAGTTCGAATGCCCTCAAACGCGTCTCCTCGCTTAAGGATTGCAAATAATGCTATGCGGTAGAACCATCCTCCTGCGTGGGCCGAGTTCACGACCACAAACTAACCTGCATACGTGCATCGTCTTGTTGGCAGAACCCAAAATACATGCGCTAGTCTGTAACATTTTTTCTTCTTTAGTCCTCTACCCTCTTCTAGGCCACCGTTGTAGGGATTACGAGTTCACTTACGAGTTCCGCTAAAATGTTGCCCTCGTCAGTCTCCTAGTTCACTTGAACACGTGGGAAAGGATCGCATCTATTCCATCTCTACCTTCACACATTTATTCTCTTCCCATCCGTACCGCCAACCGACCGACCGACTATGAACTCATACTGTCCAGGCGCCGTCGGCAACTCATCCAATCACGATGACACTGACCCGGGGTTCACTCGAGAGGTAACCCTTTTTGGGAGCATTTTGACCGGGACGAAAGAAGTCTTTGACGAAGCTTGCTCATCGAAGCCGTCGCTAGAAGCCTTGCCGTCGTGCTTGACCTTTGGAGCTGGTTCATGCTCGAGTTTCAGTCGTGGCTGGTGCTTCTTTTTTTAGACCCCACACGCCCACCTGTACGTGTACGCTCTGAACTACTTTTATGCCAAGAGCCAGCAATAAAAAAGATGAATTATTTTCCCTTTTCATATCGGATCCTATGCTTATTCATCCACATTTCTATGTATCCAGTGCTTTCTAACGGCCTGGTGTTAATCTTTCAATCCGTCCGTTTTTGCATAAGATGCACAATTGAAGATGCCATGCTTCACGCATATGCCTAATTTAATGATTTTCTACATTCATCCCTGTGATAAGTGTTCGTCCACTTATGAAAAGGAGAATTTGTTTACTAATCCCACTATCATTTATCTATACTTCGTCAACGATGAGCACAATGCGAATCTGAGATTCTAGACCTGTGTACCAGTCGTCATGGCGGTTCATTTTCCATTTAGCTTGTCGAAACAAGTTTTCATTTTATCCGTGATATATATAAAAATATATATATATATCCTTTTAGAGACAGACAAACGAACAAACAGGCAATGCAACAAACAAGTGGCTGGAGAATAAAGTGAAACGAAACGAAGAAACAGAGGCAATGCAAGCAAACAAACAGGAAACTACTACACACGTAAACAAAAAAGTAGACTAGAGACTAAGGTAACCATGCCCTATTGTCCGAGATGTATACAGGCCTTGTTTCACATTTAGACGCGCATGCAAATTGAAGCATAAGTAGCCAAGCGCAGAAGCAGACAGACAACTGGACAAGTAGACATACTGGCCAACCGACCGACCGACCGAAAAATCGGCGGGTACATGGGAAGGTAGATAGACGAATACACCCACACAGGTACAAATTAGTGACTGTAATACATACACAAGCATTAGAGTAACATGTACACGGACGGTTACTAGAATTGGCTGACAAATGCTGGTTTTCTTGACAGATCGCCTTAACCTTGTTTAACTTATCCCGATAACTCCTTTCTCAAATGACGACTTTCCTATCTTAGTGCTTGCTGCCTTTGTGTCCACGCAAAGTTTTGTTCACATATTAGCCCAGATGCTAAAGACTGTCTTCAGATGTAACTAACGTTTCCTGAACCAGCCTCATTCGAGTAACCCTTATTAGCATACCTTTCTTTCAAATACATGCCACACCATCCCCATTGTCCTCATAGTAACCGCACTACATCAAGCAGGACGAAGAATGGATTCATTTTATTTGTCGACAATCGCTACAGTTCTAATGAGATTGTAAGGATGCTTCAATGACGGTTCACGGCCTAATCTTCATTATATTATTATTTAAGGCAGAGAGTAATTCAGATGACCAGATCCATTCTTATCTTGCACCTCTTCGCTTTCCCACTGCTCAATTTCCCCACTCTCCTTTGTCCTTTCAAACCTGCCGAATTGTCTTAAGTGGGTCCAATATTCCATCCTTATCCGCTGTCTAACCCTAGAAACTTAGTACCATCGGGCTTTCCTTGACAGTTTTTCTCCCCGGGCACGTTCTGCTGACCCCATTTGTTGTCATTTCCTGCCTCTTGCCTCTCATAGACATTACATCGAGTCTTTGACCAGGCTCAACTTTGGAACCCATGCAAACGTATACATAGTTCGAACATATACGAGAATTTTCGTAATTGTTTTTTGATTTGTTACGCATGCGCGTTTCTTAGTCCAACTATATATAAATATATATATATGCATGTTTGTGTATTTATTTGAACATCTGCAAATGGATGCATACGTGTGATTCTGAAATGCCCTTCCCGCCTACTTGCCTATGCTTTTGGCATTGAATTTCACATTTCATGAAACGTTATCAATCTTAAATAAAATTTTAATGATCCTTTCCTTTAACAATAGACCCTAAAAGGTCCCTTTCTGGTCCCGCTCATAGGGTCGTTAGTCTGAAAGGTTTATGCCTCGAGAACTACGGTCCCATGCATAAACCCTCTGCAAAGCAGGTTCCCAAACCCCGATTTACTGGCCCACCTTGGTGATTACGATACTGCAAGGGTTAGGCTTCTGAATGCCTCAGGGATCTTAAATATCCTATTTTTCGGGCAACCTTTAAGGCTATGAGGCGAGTCCAACTTCTAACCAACTTCCCCAATCGTCATATGGCTTATATCACCGTACTTCCTGCAGAAGTCTGGCAACATGTTCACAACTGCTCAGGCAGTCATTCATTAACATACTTTTTTAATTCACACACACATTTTCTTCAGAAGGGAAGGCAACATCTCAGCTATAGTAACTGGCCAACCTTGGGGCAAAATAAACATGGATATAAAACTATGTATCGAAGAGTCTTGGGCAGCTCCTTCCTCCCTTTGGACCCTCCCTTTATGATAACTTTGCTTCCATGATTCTTCTCTTCACCTCAAAGATCTGGAATGCCATCAAATGTAAATGTGCAAGTGTAAATGTACGTATATATATATATATATATATATATGCAGCTAGCTTGATAATATGTATCTTTTTTATCCCAACTAAATCAATCCAGATCGTCAATTAGGCTTCGACTCATATTTTCCATTTGTTTTACTATTCTCCCCTATCATCTTCAATTGCTGTACAGCTGACTCATCATTGTAGTCATTCTTCCCTTCTCTTTTGCTCGTTATCTCGACCCCTGCGCTGTTTCGCTCCCACCTTGAATATTGCCCCCTGCCGATTGCACTTGGCAATAATTTTCCTCAGACTTACTCGAATACTCTACTTCAACCTACACACACTCCGCATGCATACATCAGCATAAGACTGGTACCTATTCTTGTAACCCTTACGCTAGTTGTAACTAATGCATTCTGATCACGGCCTCATTAACCTATTAGCTGACTAGCTTACTTGTGATTATATATATATATATATATATATACATATATATATATATATATACAAATGCAGTGCATTTATACCTTTCACAATACCTTAAATCTAAACCACCGGCTCCATAGTTTCGGAGTTTCACAGGGCCTGGTCAAAAGCTCATTGAGATCAAAGCAGCTTAATAAGGTAACAAAATATACTGCATACAATTCAAAAAATCTCTTTTCACTTGATCTTCGTACTCTGGGGCCTTAAGTTAGCCCATCTGGTTAATTTTATATAAAAAGATTCAGATTTTATAGACTAGTGTTCAGGTCTTATTTTGAACATAAGATCCTTTTCTAACTCATAAGATTAATATTGACGTCTTCATAGATATTGGATGTATTCATCCTAGTTCGTTAAGATGCTG